GCTTTCCTTCTCCTGTACTGCTCCCTTTGCTGCTATTGACAAAGTTAATTATATGTTCTACTAGCCCCAAAAAACAGAAGTGCTATAAATACCCTGAAGTTTGTTCCCTGTGCAAGTCTCCCCCAAATTCAAGGCCAAGGGGTTTGTAATGACTCCTGCAGAAGGACTTATTTTGTATGCCATCAGCAATAGTGATCTACGCTGTTCAAACTTCCACTGTAGCAATTCTTCAGAGAAACTGAACCTTGATTAACACTCCAACCTTTTAAATTATTGGTCTTTTCCATTGCTCTAAAAGATAGTATATAAAAACTGCATACCATGTCAGTAAGAATGTGCAAACTTCTAAAGCATAAAATGTTAATTTAGGAGAACATTATTCTCCTAGATTGTGAAGAATTTTTAGATGTCTCTTCAAAATTGTGGTAGAAAAAAAACCCAGTTCGCACACAGAATTGAATAACATCCTTCTCAATTCATCTATATTTTAGTTTATATTACTTATGTCCATTTCTTTCCTCAGTGTATACTCTTTATTTTTTCTTCAAAGGAGTTTTATGCTCAACAAAAAAGACAGAATTTACACTTGCTTGTTTAATGATATCGGTTAGTAGCTGATACAGTAAAATCATGTTACTGTGAGAATGGAGTAAAGCCCAGGCTTTCATGAACCTAAAAATCTTATTTAATAAAAGCCCAGTTCTATGAAATCCATATTGAATCTCAGACATTAAGAGATCATTATGGTTTATAAGCCAATACATGACTGCAATAATCAAGCTATTCATCTAGAATGACCAACAATTTTTTCTCCTCTCCTCGGTTAAATTCAGAAGAAATAAATTATGTTCAAATTATTTTTTTGACTTCTTGGACTTTCTCTGAAATAAGTGGAAATATCTTTCTAAATATTGAAATGTGAGGATTTTCTCTCTCATGCATCCTACCTAACTTTCAGTAAGCAGAATGAAGATTTTTAATAAGTTCTGACATCAGGGCAAAAATTGTTTTCGCGTTCTAGATACTAAGTTTCATTATCAAGGTCTATATTCTGTATCTATTTATATACTACTAAAACGTACGTGTCTGTTTATAACCTTCAATTGTGCAAAATTGGAAGGTATAAGGTATGTATTATTGAACCAAGGTAAAACAAATGAGCTAACTTAGAGAATGCTGGAACTCCTGGTTCCCGAGGAACTGAAATTTGGGGAAATTGTGGCCATTCAAGGCCCCTGAGACTTCCAACTATACTTTCCAGAAACCTAGAGGTTGAGTTGCACAAGGGAAGATGGTATCCCTGGGCTATTCCCACATCCCTCTGTTCTTGCATCCAGTTGGATGGTGGGAAGGCCTGACAGGTGAACAGAGATTGGCTATTTTGGAACCAAGGTTAAAATGTGAAAACTCTTAATAGTGGTGGGTGGTAAGGGAAGGATGAGAGAGTGATACACATGCCTGTTGGTGAAGTAAGGCTGACTGGGGGGGGGGAGTGCCAGTAGTCAACAGACGAGTTTCTTTCCTCCCTGGAGGGGGACCTTGGGCTCATGCCGGAATGAGGAGTAAGCATAGAGTTTTCCATTTGTTCCACCTTCCCTCAGCAAAGTGGCAGGTAGTTTTATAGAAGAGAGAACTGAAGAGAGTGAGTGATTTCCAAACTCCTTGCCATAAAGTTGGAAGTTGCTCTCTTCCCATTGAATTTTTGCCTATCCATAGCTATTCCGTTCCCGTTTAGGTAAAGAAATATCTCTGAATGGATGACCCAATGGATTATGGTTGTCTAGTATTTATATAAAATCTCATACATTTGATATGAGGAATTTGATGTTTCTAAAATCTAAATCCTTGATCCAAATAACTTGATAAAGATTCTGCTCTAATCACCAGCAAAGCATCCCATCATCTTTAAATATCATATTTGTAGATTATGCCAATTAATCACATTTTTCTATCATATTAGCCTGTCACATTATAGCTCTGATCTTCAGGGTAGGAAAACATGAGCATTATTGAACATTTTAATGTATGTAGTAACTTGATTTTGTTGTGCATGTCAATTTGGACTGTGGATACCCTTCAGATGGGAGCTCTTCCAACTGTGATTTGAGTGGGGTGCATTCAAGTCAGTGTGGACTATTGGTTACTGCCTGGACGCTGCAGTTTTCTTGGCAAGGTTTTGGGGAAATCATTTATCATTGCAAGCATTCCTTGGGAAGGAATGGGAAATTGAAAAGGACTTTAAAAAAGCAGAGCCATTGACTATGGGAAAGACTAAGGAACCAGTGCTCTTAGAGACCTTCAGAATAACAAATTTGAAAATGTTGGATGAATCTGCCTTCGGTTGTGAATGAAAGAAAATTTTAATCATAAGCTTAAGAATGTAAAGAATCTGAAATAAACAGCAAGGAGCTTTTTCATCTTAGAAAATCATAAATGGAGTAAGAATCCAGATAAAACTGAAGTCTACATTAAGATTTTGGAATTAATTATAAAGAACAAACAGATTTTTGTGGGAAATAGAACTTGTTTTGATTTTTACAGGGCAAAACAAAGATAAGTAATTTCATGATTTCAAAAACTGGACACAAAAGAGAACTAAAGTTTTTAGATAGAAGAAAGATTTATAGGCCTATAAAATGTTGTAAAAGTTTATAGAAGAATAATACCCACAATATCAATAATGCTAGTAATGATTACTTCTATGGATAAACTATGTCCAAAAGATGTTATTGAAGAAATGGCAGATGTAGAATAAATTTAGATCCAGATAATAGCTTTGAAAGGAATGTTTCACTGGATCTACAAAAGAAACTGGCTGAAATTTTAAAATTTAAAAGGGAAATGCAAATGAAAGTAGATCAAATCCTACATCTGAATGAACTAAAGATTAAGACTGTGAGAAAGAAAAGGAAGGAATATAAAATTGGTTACTTCTGGCTATCCTTTATGGACTTTCTGCTGACATAAAAACTGAAAAGTTTATGTTTTATGGATTTGTTTATAGATAAGAGATGAGATATGAAATGAAGATATGTTTGTTAGTTTAAAGGGGGTAATGAGTCTCTAAATTTGTTCAAACTTGTGTGATAAAGATTGGAACTCACTTTTTTATATATTTCTTTTCCCTTTATTATATTATTATTTTCTTTTTTCTTGCATTCTTTCTATTCTTTTCTTTTTTAAAAAATAGTTATTAGATTTTACTATTATTATCAAAATTCTTAGTAAAATTACATGAGAGTGTGGTGTCTGTGTGTGGGGGCCTAAGCAGGACTGGAACTCATGTCCATTCACTGGACCTTTTAAATGCATTTTTAAGATAGTTTATTGAAAAATAAGTTTATAATATGGCAATTTTGATAAAAATATTAAAATGTTTGTTAGAGATGAAGATTTGAATGCATTTAAAAACCCTACAGATTTTAATATAGAAATAGTGCTGTCTTTAAAATAATACAGAACTAATGTATCCTTAACCCAGCAATGTTGAATTTACATTAAACCAGTAGTCATTTTATTAAAATTCCACACTACTGAAAATAACCTGATCGTGCTGTTTTTCTTGCTGTAACTAAGCCTTGTCTGACAGCATTTATTTCTGAAACTGAGAAAGGATTGGTTTTGGAATTCCCTGGCTTTAAAGGGATTGCTGAATGAGCCAGGGAAGGAAGCAATAAAGTAATAATATTCATGAGGCTGCTGAACCATTGTGGTAGGCAAATGGAAACTATCAGAAACAGAACTAGAAACTCTTCAGCAAAATGGATAACTTTAAGCCAAGACTAGAAATATCTGTGTTTTTTAAAAAATCTGTGGTAAAGAGGAAGGGATATAATAAAGTAAGAAAATCCTGGGATGTAGTAGTGGAAGAATGAATCATGGAATTCTGTAATTAGAAGATGACTGAAAAGGCAAACTTAGAGGAAATAAGACATTTGGGCATTTGCTTTTATGTAAAATGAGAAGTGCTGTCCTGATTAAAAGTAGGTTATGTTACTTTATGTTACTTTGGAGGGAGCATGATGGCTTAGCAGTTAAGATGCTGAGCTGGTCAGTTGGAAAGCTGACAGCCTGGGTCCTGAGCGTTGCATGACGAGGTGAGCTCCCGTTACTTGGCCCAGCTCCTGCCAACCCAGCAGTTTCAAAGCATGCAAATGCAAGTAGATAAATAAGTGGAAAGGTTATTGAGTTCCGTATTTTCACACTGGCCACATGATGATGGAAACATCTCTCAGACAACGCAGGCCCCCTCGGCTGAGGAGATGAGTATCGCCCCCTTGAGTCAGTCAAGACTGGACAGGGAAACATTTAAACCTTTGTTACTTTATCACTAATCACTAAGTGTGATTAACTAATACTTAAAGCACAGAAACTAAAGGTCCAATCCCTTTCAGCCTTCCGAAAATGACAGTGTTGGTTTACTTCAAATTAAAAGTCACAGTTGAGCTTATGGATGTAATGCTTACTCTTGCCATCGGAACTATTTTAGCACCCATTGTGGCAGTAATAAGGTTAGTCTGAGGGAGCCCTTGATAGGATTTCTTGGCCAAATGGCCCTTCCCCCCTTCCTGCTCATATTATCACCTCTATAATGGCCACTACATTTTGAATGGCGATACTTATCTTCTCCTGCTCCAAAATCCCCCTACCTTAAAAGGAATAAATCCTTTTCAGCAAGGGGGGATTTACTTTATTTAAATAAGGAGTCTGGCTAAGCAGTGACTATGTATGGATTCTTGATTGGCTTGATGGTGCTGGGCACAGGTACCAATCCCATTTCCTCCTCCTCCCTCCTTTGAAAGAGGGAGAAAGTGGTATCATTTTATCTGTTTTGTAAAATGTTTTAACAGTGAGAATAATTCATTGGGGGTGTATTTGCAAGGCACCCTGATAATCCAGAATGAACACCAGTGAGTTCCTTCATGCAGTTCCTGCTCACTTGATACAGCTAAACTGCATCCATTATGATTATATCATCATTAAAATGGTGCTCCTGCCACAAATCAACTAATACAATTCATCTGAGAACAGTTATTCCAAAGACAACACAATATTTTATAACAAACATTTATAATCCAGTTTACAACAAAGTAATCCATCATATAAACAAATGAATTGGTCATACACTAAATAAATATCTCTAAAGAATAAGAATTAACATTTCATTTTTTTTTTTCATTTCAGGACCTGATCCGGCAAGTCCTTTATACACAGAATTCCCTGTACAGTCATCAAGTTCAGTTCATGCTATATGTTGAAATTTTGTCTGAGCAAACCATGTTAATTTAAGGCTATGGACAAATATTCAACATTTTTATCAAGGAGTTAAGGTAAACTCTCATGATTTTTTGCACTTGAAATTATCAGGGAGAGCTTAGCTTTTCAAATACAGTTAATTGACATTTTGAAAATTTCAAGTTAACAAGAAATATTTGTGTCCCAAACAACAGATGAAGAAAAAAATATCTAGAAAAGGAAATTACAATATGACAATGTAGTAAGAATACACATTTTGGGGACACGGTTTGTTTTTCACAAGTAGTTATGCATGTTACTCCATAACTATAAAACAAATTCAGACAGAATGTTTTCAGTTTTCGTTACCCTTTCCAAGTCCCAAAGTGATGAGAATTCTTTAACCTGATAGGTCTAGGCAGCATTCTGGATTTGAAGGGAAAAAGATGTTTTGGAGTATGCTGAGGTGCAAGCATAGCACCTGCTTGCAACTTTTTAAAGGAGCTATATTTCTTCCTAGGAATGTGGATATAGGAGATGAGCCTGAGCCTGAGGGAGGGGTCACAGGTATTATCAGTATTATCAGTCATAATCCCTTCACACCTACAAGAGATCTAAATCCAACCTACCCTGAATTCCTTGAATTTATCTACCACCAATTTGCTTAGTAGTAGATAGCCTAAGTTTGCAATAAATCTCTATTTGATTTATTGAATCAAATGAATCAAATGATTCATTTGAACTGCTTGGATCTTCTGATTTCCCCAGCACTTGATAGAGGAGCTCCAGAGATGCATTTTACGGAGTTGCCAGTTGATGTCAACACTGCAAATTATTTGCCTTAAAATCTCTTTGCCTATAGTCTATCTTATTTTGTAAGATAATAGATGTATAGTACTTCATTTGTGAAGTCAAAATAGCATTTCAATTTTATTTATTTTTTTGCATATCATGTATAATTGACTCCATTATTTCACTTATGAGTCAGGCTTGACTCATGGCAACCACATTATTTTCTTGGCAAAATTTCTGAAAATAGTTTGCCACTGCCTTATTCCTAAGGTTGAGAGAAAAGACTGGCCCAAAGTAACCCAACTGACTTTGTACCTAAGGCAAGACTAGAACAGTTTCCTGGCTTTTAATCTAGAACCTTCAACCACTACACCAAATTGACTCTCTTAATTCATATTATAGTTTTGATATTCCATACGCTAATCGTGAATTTGAGAATGTATGCAAACATCATCTTATATTACATTACATTAAATGTTAAGTAATGGGCCAACTAAAATAGTAGCATATTTGCTACAGCAGATATGTAATGAAGTTAGAAAGGTTGTTACTGCAGAAAACCCAACCGTGTAAATAAAATATACTAATTGTTATTGATCTGGGAAGGATTTGCAATATGTAAATTTGAATCAGAATTAATTACAGCAGCAGTGGGATTTGTACATGCATACATAGGTGCAAAAATGAAATTATACTTCTGTATAAATGTGGCACACAGAATTGGAACACTGCTGGGAATGACATCTAAAGTGAGAGAAATTACCACTGTCATAAGAAAATACTAGAGTAACATGCTGTGAAAAAAAAGGAATATACAAAAGAAAAATAACATCTAGGGAGAATCTTTGGTGTAATGGTCAAGAGATTATGTTGCTTTGTGCTGAATTTCTAAACCTATAGTAAGAAATATGTATAATATTTCTTACTATACTTAATCTAAGTTAATATCTTGATTCTGAAACATGATTGCCATAGTTATTTTTGTTATTTGTAAAAAGAAAGTTGAATAAGATGTAAGTATATCTTATTCAGAATACCTATCTCTTGCTCTTTCGCAATTTAAGATATATATATGCCAAAGTAAGCATGCTATATGCCAATTAAACTGTGAGAATTGCCGATTCCATTAGATGTCTCAGGAAATAAGTTCAGATTCTATCATGGCCATTACAAGATATACTGTACAGCACCTTTTCTTAAAAATACCAGATATTATTTATTTAGAGAGGTTTGCTACGTTCTTTAAAGTTGATCACATTACATTGGTCATCAGGTTTAGCATATATTTCTTGGGAATGTTTCAGATTTTTTAAAAATGTTACAGTTACATGTCATAAACTTGATCAAATCATCATAGTCGTGGTTTGTGTTCATTTTAACAGAACATAACCATCTAATATTTTTTCACTATCCGTAATATATTTTCTGGAATTTTTGGATTTTTCAGAGAAGGAAATCTTAACACATTCTACTTTCTATATATCTTCACTATTATAAATATATTTGCAAGAACTTTGACCAGCAATAGTACCTTCATAGTTAAATAATTACATTTTCTTTAAAGTTTTAACAATTGATGTAGAATATGAATATTAACACAGAATTATAAAAAGACAATATTAAGTACCCTTTGATTTCCCTTTGTAACAAGTGCAGTCTTATGAAAGAAATTAGAAAACTATGTATATATTAGACGTTCAATCTAAACAGAAACAAAGCAAAATATTATTGTCATAGAAAACACAAGATCACATGCCTATTCTTTATTATAAATAACCATATTGTGTCATGATTTCTTCTTGCCAGCAAATGAAAGTGATTGGTTCGTAACCTTCTCAACATATGCAGATATCTGATTAAGTTATGTTTTCTTGAGAAACTACAGTCCATTTGAAGAATACTGAAGAGGTCAATTTGATATGCTATTTAAGGGTCTTGGTAACCAGTACCATTGCACCTGGAAAATGTATTTTTCCCTTATTTTAAAAAATAGATGAGTCCATTATTTATTACTTAAAAATTATAAAGAATAGTTTTTATTTCAGTCCTCATATAAATTATAAAACTCAAGTTTGCCAGAGCCTCTTTCCCAGAGGAAGCATAAAGCACTTTTGTGATACCTTCACTGAAAAATATTTGTATCACATTAAGTTTGACAGACACAATCAAGATCAATATTGCATCCTGAAGTCCAAAGAGACTATTTTTCTGATGTGGTCCTCATGATGGATGTTATCTATGCTCTCTTGCAATGATTTCATTCAGTTTATGAATCAAGAACAGAAAGACACATCAGTTCAGCAGGAATCTCTAATATTCCTAATAGATGTTTGTTAAAGGGCAAAGACAAATCCTTTGGAAGACAAAGAGAAGTTTAAAAATGTAATGTTAAAAGAAAAAAGCAATGAGGTAAACTTCTCCTAGGAAGCCAGTCCTAGTTAAAATATCAGGAGAACGTATTATTATACCTAAGACCTAAATGCTTTTCTAGCCATATTTCAGCTAATTGCATTGCAGAGCCAAATGTACTTGCTTTAGACCCCAAGCACATCTTATATTGTTTAGACTCTAGACTGGGATCACAATGAACTGGATGGAACACATGCACAACCCCCACTTCTTGGCTTCTAAATGCCTTCAAGCCAGAAGTTATCACTTTAGTAAAAAGGTCTACATCCTCAAGTCCCCAACCTTGAATTGAGGTATCAAATCCACCTGCATTTATAAGATCACTTTTATAAATGCAAGTGATACCAAACCCATAATCTCTCCAAAACCCTGTTTTCTTGGTGAAAACAAAGTAACTGTCCAAAGGAGGGTGGTTTCCATAGGTTACTTTAGGGTCAAATTGGCTGAAAATAATAGGATAGTAAACTTGTTCTCCTTGGATAGTGTTAACTCGACAACGCTGAAGGAAGTCTGGAGTAAATATTAGGTCAACATCACAGAATAGTAGCAATGTATCATTATCAAACTGAGAGGAAGCCGTTTCAAGACCCAACCCTCTTGAAAAAGCTCCTGTCATAGGAATAACAGTGATGTCTGCTATAGGATACTTATTGCGATATGCATTGATCAACTCTATGTGTTTAATGGACTCCTGACTAGAATCTGGGCTAAAGAGAATAACTACCAGCCTCACGTTCTGCTTTGTAACAAGGCAAGTCTTTTCAAAATTCTCCATAAATCTCAAGAAAATATTGTATCTTCCTGTGAGAGGGACAAGAATGTGTATCTTCTTATTATTGCTTCCCCTTAATTCTTTGGTGTTTTGAAATGGTGAAAACATCTTCAGGGAATTAGAAAGGAAAGAGAGGGATTGTGTGTCACTCTGCCCATTTTCCATCACACTTCTTACATCCAGGTCTTCTTCCTCTCTGAAAAAAGGCTTACTAAATAACTGTTGAAGATAAGCATGTCTTCGAACTGGAACAGTGACTTTTCTTCCTTTGTGCCTTTTATATAAAAGCAGCAAATCTAATATATACTCTACACCATGCAGAGGGTCAACCCTGCGGTATCCATACTGTATTTCATTGAAGTCAATAAGCCTTCCTCTAGATTTAGAGTTCTCATTGATTATTTCCATTACCTGCATTACAGTGTCATCTAATGCTGCTCGAAGGATGTTATTAATGTTTTGCCTAGGTGGCTGATTCTCAGCTATTGAATAAAGGAGCTTTCCAGTCAGAAAATCCCATTGAATGACTTCATTCCTGTCACGGGGCTGGAAACGACTAAAAGATGGTGTCATTCCCAGAAGCTGATCTTCTTTGTTTATTTCATCATTACTGAGCTTGCTCATGAGAGCACTTTCTCTATGGAGCTGGATGGTGCGGTAACGTAGTTCTGAAATTTTGCGGGTCAATATGTAGTTATGAAGTCTATACTGATAGGCTGGTCTTTTATTTGGATGAAGTGTAATTGCGGTGTGAATTTTGCTGTTGTGAAGATCCTGTATGTAACCCTTCCGGTTGCGTTCATAGTTTTCATGGAACAATTGCTGCATCTAGGAAAAAAATAGAATAGTATTAGGTATCAGCTAAATATTAAGTAAATCATGTTTTATTTTATTTTCAAGCATAAATATATTCATTATTTGGAGGTTATTTGGAGTTATGTTTTGTTAGGAGATGACATGAATATACAACATAATTAATCTAAACACATGGGGACAGAAGAGACAGAGGTCACCTGGTGATATGATGATTTATTAAGTTCTAGATCATATGTAAATCTTGATAAAAATGCTTGAATTTCAGAGAGTAGACAACCAAAATTATATTATATTTGTAGATTATACGGGTTGATTATAAAATCACAAATGAGTGGGAGCATATTTTGTACATTCCTATAAGGCGAGCAAGCATGTATTAACACTATAAATTTAGTTACAATGAAATTAAGGATATATCAGAAGTTTAAAAAGAGTATAAACTTTTAAATATGGTCAGTGGTCAGAAAATGTCCATCTTCTCTAATGGGAATATTCAATCAAGTGAATATTTTGAAACTAAAATAATTTGTAACTTCGATCTGTTTAAAAAAATTAATATAATAAGAATTCAGAAGGTTCTTTTAGGTATTAACAGTCAAGATATTCAGAAGAATGAGTTCAGGACTCATATTTTGTTTCCAATTGCTTGTAAAGTGATATCTTCCTAAAATTACATGAAAAACTAAAATCAAAACAAACCAGAAAGAAAAAAAAAATTCTGACAGGAAATTGTTTATAATGCCTATGAGCGTAGTAATATAAATAATATAGGCAATGAAGAAAAAAGTAAAAGTAAAATTATAGAGTGCACTGAAAAGCTTTCTACATTTTTAATCAATATTAAAGTAAAAGTCATGAACAAGAGTATTTAACCTAGAGGAGCTTTTAATTATTTTTCATATTTATCAATTGAGATGCCATTTTATTCCAATGTGCAAGGTTAAAAAAGAGAAGCAAATCCAATAATGTTGCCCAGAAAACCCAATGAGCCATCACCCCCCTTCATATCTTTACCTTGTCTATCTCACAGGCAACATATTTAGGACTGCTGAAATATTTGTATTGCAAAAATTACATGTAACATATTTGATGAAAGCAGTAAATTGAATCTCCCTAAATGCATCATTATTACATTTCATTTGTCCAAGATAAGGCAACTTACAGATTGATAACTGGCAGAAATATTTGCTGGATTAACCCAAAGCTAATTCATAGGATTTTTAGAAAGAATGATGGGAATACCACTGTCGTGATGCCTACCACACTGCCAACAGTACCCAACATGTGTCCAGCATATTACAACATATACATCAATATGTTAATCAGTGTGGGAGATAAACTAGTGCCATGTTAATTAGTGCACTATTTCGGAAGAACAAGTGCCCACTTTAAATAATATCAATAGGAGAAGGAATGGCAGAACCTGGAGATGGAATGAAAAAGGGGATTGGTCTAGAATCCCTATATAACCACTAGTAAACTGAACCTAATCTCTCCTTGAGTGTCACTGACCCTTATCTACAGTAAATCTAAGCAAGTGCTGACCATTAGTTAAGAAGATTCCTGTGCATAGGCTTTCAGAAATAAATCAATTTAATTGAACCTTTAGGAGTGGATCTATTTTTTTGCACCAAACAATATCTCAGACACTGTTCCTTGCTATTTTACTAAGCCTATTTTTATCGTTAGATATAATAAAATAGGTCCTCAATGCATAATCAATAAAATTAAGTGCAATTTCCTCTTAGCTAATTTTATTAACATTAATATTTTATAATAACTTATGAACTTCCTAAAGCTAAACATCTAATTAAAATAACATAAGCATGGCAAGATGTCTATTACAGTGTTTCTGTTAAAAGAAATTTTAATTATATTACCATAATAGTTTTTTACAGCCATAGTTATGTTTTGTTAGGAGATGAAATGAAAATACTTCATAATTAACATAAATGCATTACTAAAAACTTTTGAAAACTGAAATCAGACAGGGAATTACACGCTTCATAGAGATTGAAAAAAATATTTATTTGATACATAACTAGGGGGGAAGATAGGGAGGGGAGCTGCATAACAGATTTAAAATGCACAAGCTTAAAAACAGCTCCTATAAGCCTGAGGCACTTTCTGGTATCTTAGAAATATAATGAAACGTAACAAAATAGTAATATTTTCTTCCCTTATTAGCTCCCCATCTGTATCCCCCTCCTACTTTCTCACAACCCCATTTATAAAACTGTACCTTGAGGTCCTGTTAATCCACTCTCTAAAGATTTTATTATTATTATTGACTGTAGACCCTCATCTTTCAGTTTATGTATACACTCAAGGCAGCCTAGAATAATTTTAAAAAACACACATTATAATTAACACAATTAAAATCATGGACAACCAAGCAGATCTTCTGTTCCAAATACAACACTGTTCTAAATTAAACTCTAAACCATATGCCACTAATCCAAGCCTTTCTCCATCCCTCCATTTGGAACCAGGGCAAGAATCAGAAGTACATGTCATGGCCCATGGAGAAAGGAAAAGGTAAGATGAGGGGGAAGCATTATACTCCTGGCCAGGTTGCTTTGGGGGCTGCACAGGAGGGGCTTTGGGCAGTTATCGTGAGTACAAAGACAGTGGCTTGACAAAAACCACAACATAGCCATGTGTAGCCAGAGTTTTATCCCTTCAAAATTGCTTGTGTTCCCAGGGATTGCCACCCACAATTTGAAAACTCTTGCTATATTGTAACTGTAAGCTACACTGTTATCTTGTGTATTTAAAAAAAACCTGTAATAGTATGTGGGAAAGACCCTGGGACACAGGATGAAGTGGTGCTACCTAGGGAATAGTCAGATAAGTGAGGGCATACCCTGCAGCTGGATAATGGGAAGAGGAAGAGCCTCAGAAGGGGCCCTTCCTATTTTCTTAGAGTATAAAGGAAATAGCATGAGTTTTGTGCTTTCAGTCTTATAAGATTTTGTTAATATAGCCTTAAAATAACATAGAACTAACTCATCTGTTGTGTTTCCTGTCTGATCTACCTGGTACGGCTGAAAAAAACTGGACACACATCTAAATGTACATTAAGGTGCACATTAGAAGTTTATAGTGAGTTTTTATAAATATGTATTTTATTTTTTAATTTTAATACTTTTCTATCCTACTATTCATGATAAATTAGTTTCCACTTTCACTAAATTTAGTGTGCTATTACCACTGTTCCATATGGCTAGATGCAAATATTCTATTACTTACAATATTCAGAAGTAGCAATAGAAATCCAAACTAATTGGAATAATCAATTTGATGGAGTAACAGGTGATCCGGAATTAATAATGGGAATGTTATTTATAAAAAAAAGGTTTCACTGATACAAACATAATTGTGTGTTTAAGCACACATACACACATCAACTATTTTCAAATTAATCTGTGACAAGTTAATATACATGAAAAATATATTAAAACCAAAGAACCAAAGAAAAAATATAGAAAGAAATGACTTCCATCTAGTATTTCAACCAAAAATATCTTCATCCCATCTTTTATCTATTAGCAAATAAAGCTTCATCATTCGATCTTATTCAGCAAAACTTCATTAAGATCTACCAGAAATAACAGTATTTATTTATTCAATTTAGAAACTGTCAATTTAGAAACTGCCCATCTTCCTCATAGATATACACAAACACTTTAAACAAGTAAAACCATTTCTTGTTACCAGAAACCAGCTACCAGAAACAACATATTAAAAATTGTAATCTTTTAATTCCTTCAAATGATATCCCATAAATTAATTTCTTATCATCTCTTCCATCTTCTCTCAATTTTAATACCCATACTTATCATTTTCTCTACAAATGCAACAGAAACTCTCTTCTTCCCATATGCTGTACATAAACGAATACTAAATCCTCATCATTCAGCCCTAGTCAAGAAAAACCCATTAAAAGCTACTTTAAAAAGATCACACACATTTTAACTTTGGTCGAATAAGCCAATTTTGTAAACCTTTGTTTTATTTTGAGGTCTTGATGTTAATTATCATAATCATTGTCCATATTGAAAGGATAATTTATACCAAATTTGCTAATGTAATATTTTTATGAAAACTGAACCATTAAAAATTAGACAGGGATGGCAAAAGAGGAGGGGGATTTATGACCTCTCTCCTTATGAGCAGGATCACTCAAGGGTGGGATTAAATTAGGCTTAGTCTGCTATGCCAAAATTACCTCTGACTCTACTAGTGCTAATGCATGTTTTTGGAACTTTTCAGAGATGTCAGAATTGAAGAGAAAAAACTGGTAAAAACTACAAAATACAAAGACTTGTAAATAGAAGTAGAGTGGCTTTGACAAAAGAAAGTAAAGATAGTATCAATAGATGCCTTGGCTGCAATCCAAAAGCTTCTAGCGTACCACTTAAACACTCTCAACATTGACAAAATCACTACCAGTCAACTACAAATGGAAACTTTACTCAGAAAAGCTTACATTCTTTAAACACCATCAAACAAGATCTCCCTCTGCCAGGTCCTTGGGAAGGACTCAGTAAGCCAAATCCAATGAAAACCTCTGGCTGACTGTGCAATCATCCATAACAGTAATACAGTAGGAACAGTTGACCCAGATGGAACTTTATTACTTAGTTTGGAAAACAAGAAAATATATACCATGCTGTACATCCAAAAACCAATGTTGATCAGACATATTTACAAGAACCAAAGAGGACTCCTACAGGTGAAACAAACTGAAAAAAAGAATATTAAGTTTGAATACTAAGACAAACTAAGAACCCTTATTGAAGGAAGTCAATCAAAGAAAGCTCTTGAAAACAACAAAGAAACAGGCTGATTTTGGAAAGAAACAATTCCCCCCCCCCCAAAAAAAGATGTATTAATTGGATGATGGCCAATGCATGGTCAGATTCACTCCTTGTTTATATACACTAGCTTGCCCTGCCAATGTTGGTGGGAGTGTAGTTTCCCTTGGTGGTTTCTTGATTAAGTATTGT